TGACTCGGCTTTGACTTGGTGCTTCGGCTCGACTTGGCTCCGCCTAAGTCACATAACCCTGCCTAGCGCCTTGGCATAGGCACCTTGTGTATATAGAGAGCCCTTGGAGCATCCTTCTGCTCCTTACCTTTAGATAGCTGAATTTGACCTAACCTACCCTGCTAGCACTCTATTCTTACAGCTCGTGGAGACAGTGCTGCCTGCAGCTAACTTACCTAGCTAGGTGTTCTAGGACGCTCACAGCAGTAGAGACCGCGAACCTAGCCCTTACAACGAATATCTACTTAAGTGTAAAGCTTGTCTAGTAGTTTAAAAAGACCTCTAAATATAATAGGGCGATACCTATACTACTACCTTAGTAGTAAGAACCTTTTAAGCTCTAGTAGCTATAGCAACCGCCTTTAGATTACTAATATATTAGTACAACGCTATAAACGTCTTTCTAAACATAAAGCTTCTATAGAAGCTCTACTACTACACTCTAGAAGATTTTACTAGTTAGTTTAGTAAGCTCTTAGAGTTGTATTAAGCTCTATATAGGCTAAAGAAAGTACCTCTACTATAGTATAAGAACCTTATAGAGACTCTTAAGAAGTTAGAACTTATTAAAATAAGTATTATACTATACCTATAGGCTAGTAATAAGCTTATAGTCTTCTTCTTTATTAATAATATTATTATACTTGTCTACCTAGATAATATAGACGTTTACGTAGAGTTTAAATACTACCTACTTAAAAAGTATAAGATTAGAAAGATAGGTTAACTTAATTAGTTTCTAGGTATACGAGTTATAAGAGATATAGAAGTAGCGTTAACCTAGCTAATCTAGAATTTCTTTATTAACAAGGTTGCTAATAAGTTTAACCTACTTCTAAAACTAGGTGCTAAGTATCTACAATTCTCTATAAAGAAGAATAACCTTACAAAATCCTTAGAGATACCTAATAGAGAGCGAATAAAGCTTTTCTAGTAGCTAGTTAGCTTACTAGTATATATTTTCTACTTTACACGTTTAGATATATTAAGAGCTTACTTAGTATTAGCTTAACACTTAATTAACCTAGGTTAATAATATCTCTACGCCGCTATACACGTGTAGTAATATCTTATAGAGTTAAAAACTCTTACGCTTAAAGCGTTATAATACGCTACAGAGAAGAAATACTTCTAGAAGGTAGATTTTAAAGAGCCTATCTTCTATAGAGCCTTAGATACTTTATTTAGTAATAACCTAGATACTAGAGTAAGCTCTAAAGACTATATCTTTAAGCTATATAGATTATCTATAGATTAGAAAGCTATAAAATAACGAATAGTAACTAAATTAATAACTAAGGTAAAGCTTCTAGCGCTTTTAAAGACAGCTTTAGAAATAGAGTAGTAGAACCTACTTTTCTACTACCTAAAGCTAAACCTTAATATTAAACTAAAGCTTTAGTATAATAATTAGTAGACTATAGGTATAGTAACTAAGGCTATAGAGAAGCTTTAGATAAAGCTTAAACATGTTAACGTACACTAAATATAGCTCTGCTAGAAAGTTAAGAACTAAAGAATTAATATTAAATAGATTTCTATAGGTTAAATACTAGCTAATAGACTTATAAAGATTCTATTACCTTAAAAACACGCCTACTTTATTTAATAGCTAGAGCTTAAGAATATTTCTAATAAGTTAAAGCTTTCGCTATTCTTAGTAGAGTAGTAGAAGCTACCTAAGAACCTCTTATACTAGTACTAGATTAGATAGTAAACCTAACCTAAGTAATATATATCTAATTTACTAGTATTTTAGAACCTCTAAGATAACTATTTACCTATATTTTACTTCTAGCTCTACTATAGAAGTGCTTACTACACTTATTTAACTATTTTCTATTAATTTTAACGTATATATATACTAGTTTTATACGTAATTCTATTATATCTTAACTAGCTACGTTTATTATAATCTATTAGATTAACTATAAAATTAATAGGCTACGTTTATTATAATAAGCCTAGTCTTAATAAAATACATAGTAACGTGTTAACGTCTACTTAATAAACTACTCTACAAAGTTACTATAAGCTATAGAGAGCCGCGGTAACTATAAAAATACTCTAAAAGCCGTTAAATAAGGTATTCTTTCTTTTTACTCTCTACTCTTAAGTTTAATTTACGCCTTTGCTATTACTCTATCCCTCTTGTTACAAGCTATTCTCTTAACTAAAATCGAGGCTTACTTTCGTAAGGGGAGGCAAGAGGTATACTTTAGGCTAAGATCTTTAGTAATAAAGAGGTAGAGGTAATAATACTATAAACTATAAGTTATAATAGTAATTTAGTAATAACTATAAGAAGCTATAAGAAGTAAGCTCTCTCTAGTTATATACACGTGTTTTCTTGGCTAGATCGAGTGCTAAGACCTGGCTTCCGTGGATTAGTCCTGATCCCCCTGGCTCCGTCTGATCCACCTGATCCACGTCACGTGATCCTGATCATCCCCGTAACCCTGCACGTGACCTCCTGTCTCGTGACCCCGGGCTTGGCCTGCCGTTTCCTCCGTTCTAGCTGGTCAACCCTGTTTCTGATCCTGTAATCGTAACACCTCTTTTTGCCTACGTAGAAGCCATAGGGGTTAGCAGTAGAGGGGTGTTACACTATTACTTAAACACTCAAACGCTCTACTATCTAAACTCAACCTCCAGGACCTATATCGGACTTCTTAATTAGGAATAGGCACAGCCTTATGCACAGATCTCTTATCTCTCTGCTTTCTACACTTCTCTTTTAACCCTACAGGGTTCTCTTACAAGGGGGGTGGCCCTCACAGAACACTACAGCACTGAGGGGTGTATTCACAGGAGACGATCATTGATTACCTTTTTGGGTATAGTCAAAAGCCTTACCTTCTCAGACAGCTTTCCGTATACACTCCAAGCTGGAGGGGTGTGTTGCCGGATATGGTTACTACTTCACGTGACCTGGTCATGTATATATATAGCCATATTTCTCGTATTCTCAATCAATTAACTCACGTCTCAATACTCTGCAATTCACCCAATATTTGAGCAGCCCGCCTGGCCTTTGAGGACGGCAGCACCCGTGATGGCTGTTGAGATGCCATGACCGGTAGGAGTACGGACTACGAGCCGCAATATGTTGTGGAGTGCCCGCTACGGTGAGCCCTAGGCATTTTCTGGATTTTGTATGAAGCTGCTCGTTCACGACCCCGTCGCGGATGGCAGGTCCCTGAATCGGTTCCCCGTTCTAAGGGCCGGGGCCCCGTTTTGAGCCTCTTTGTGGTCTGAAAGTGTCACCACCATTCTAATCTTAGCAATGTGCCTTTCAACTGTCAGCGGAGCCTGGTTTCGGGCCCCATCTCTTAATGCAAGTCTGCGATCGCGGACGAAACAAGGCAGCGAATCTCCCCTGGAGTTCAACTTCATCTCTGCACGTTATTCGGATCCGGCCCGTGTTCCTGGGTTCCTGACAACCGCCATGCATTCCCAATCCGCGCGTTGTTCGCCCGCTCGCATCTGTCTCGATGGCTTGCCTAATTTTCCCTAGTTGGCCCCCGTCGGCTTGCTTCTAGTCGGTCCTTCCCATCCATACTACCCCCGGCTTCGTGAGGGGCGTGTTCAGTCGGCGTGTGCGTGTTCGATCGGCGTGCGCGTGTTCGATCGGCATGCGCGTGTTCGCTTCCTGCGGTGGTGGTAGGAGAGCACTCAGAAGGCTAAGGCCGCGTGGTGCCGTTCAACCTCTTTTCTTGGCGATCATGTGACCTGATTTGGACCTCGCAGCGAACATCCGCAACATCCTCCATCACGGTTTCCACGCTACAGACCTCTGTATTCAGAGTCGTTACACCGTTTGGTGTAACGTTAGCGCTTTGAGCACCAATCAAGTACGACTTCAAAACGTGTAGCTGCGGATTGTGTCCACCGTTTCCCGTTACCTGTCACTAGCTAGCTTTAAACGCGTTTCTTAGCAGAGGTTATAGGTAGTAACGAATACTGTATAGAACCTGATTCCTATCTTTAGGCGCATTTCTTAGCAGATATCCTATATACCAACTAATCCTATACAGAACCCTGATTCCTGTCTTTAGATACATTTCTTAGCAGGCATTCTCTATAGCAACTAATCCTGTATAGAATCCCGATTCCCGTCCTTAGATGCACTTCTTAGCAGGGACCCTGTGTAGTAGCCAATCCTGTATAGAGCCCCGGTTCCTGTCTTTAGATACATTTCTTAGCAGAGAACCTACCTAGAACCCCGATTCCTGTCTTTAGACACTTTTCTTAGTAGATATCCTATAGAGCAACCAATCCTACATAGCAACCGGATTCCTGCCTTCGAACGAATTTCTCGACAGATATTCTAATTAGCAACCGATCCTGTACAGAACCCCGATTCTCGTCCTTAGATGCATTTCTAAGCATGGAACCTATGTAGTAGCCAATCCTGTATAGAACCCCGGTTTCTGTCTTTAGACGCTTTTCTTCGCAGATATTCTGTATAGAACCCCGATTCCTGTCTTTAAATATATTTCGTAGCAGAGATCCTACATAGCACCCCGATTCCTGTCTTTAAACGCATTTCCTAGCAGGGATATTGTATAGCAACTAATCCTATATAGAACGCCGATTCCTGTCTTTCGGCGCATTTCTTAGCAGAACTTCTATATAGAATCCGAACTCCTTGTCGACAATTAAATATCACATCGACCCTAGAAGCCTAAAACGTTGAATCTATCTACTAACGTAGTGCATAGGCAAACAGCTGTGGAACGTTCCATAAACATAGGTCCAGATTTCCAATTCAGACCATGCACTCCTGGTTACTTCTACGGGCGCATTTGGTGCATAATGTAACTGCTTAACTATATAACCATACTGCGAAAGCATAAATACAGCATACTGTCTAATTTAATTACATCATCTTCGTTTCTAGTTTTCAAGCAAGAGATTGCTAGTGGGTCACCCTAGCGCACCCAAAGAACAACGGCCTGCTATTGCCCAGCCTGCCGTTGTTCAGCCTGCCGTTGTTCAGCCTGCAGCTGCTCGGCCGATTGTCGCTCAACCAGCTGCTCATATACGGCCTGATGGTTATCCTGCATCTCTTGTACCTGATGCTCATGTTGGAAAACGGCAATGGCCTGGCTTTTGTCTTGCACACCCGCGTCCCCAGGCATTTGGCTACCAACATTCGCTTCTATCTGGCTTTCCACGGTGCGGATACGGTTTTGAAGCCTTTCTTTCTCTCGTTCCAACATCGCAGTGCATTCTGCTAGCTGTCGAATTTCGCCGTTTAATTTGTCGATATAGTGATGCAGTCGCCTTATTGTCGCCATTTGCTCTTCGAGCTCGTCCTCGTCGTGTAGCTGACGGCTTAGGAGAGTCTCCCGGTTAAACCGTCCATCAGAAGGTATTTGGTCGTTGGAGGAAGATCCAATACTTCTGGTGAGAACAAGGTTGGGCATGGTCTTGAGTTCGGGTGGTTCTTCGTCGTCGAAAGCAGGACACGGTGTTCTGCCATTAAGGCGCGAATATGCGCAGATGAATAGGTGTAACGGAGATCATGTTAGTCTGTAAACCGAATTTGGTAAACAGTGCCTGGGCTCTAGCGAGGCCTACGACGGCGGACTGATAGCGGGAGTTGGCGCGTTGGTAAGGCAGAACACAGAGAACAGCAGCGCTGCGGCATCCAGCTCATCGAATTCAGTTTGCTGGTATAGACTGTTTGATGCCCACGGGAAACGCCAAATGCGTTCTGCGTTCCATCCCATCAGCTTCCGACACCGGGCTTCCGTCTTCGCTGCAAAGGTCCCGAGAACCGTTCCGCATATGCAGTTCTCTGGCCACCAACATGACGTCTAGTACGCCCATTGACCCCTCCATGGCGCACGTTCCTGCTATCATCGGCTGCAGAACACCATGTTCTGCTTCGACGACGAAGAATTATCGAAGGTTAAGGCCGCTTGCTTTCGCGGGCTCGCAAGAGTTCAGCTGGATGCTTTGAACTTCCAGCACCCGCTCGCTTTCGCAGAAGAATGTCCGGCGGCTTCAGCGGATATTTGGAAAAGTCGGTTGCCTACGGCTGCAGGAAGAGAACTATATCAACGCTACCGTTGACGATGCATCTCTGGACGATGCGTTGAGCCTATCGAGAGACGAGCGGCTGTGTTTGCGCGAAGGACAACAACTGCCGCTCCTTGATCTTCGCGTCGACTGTTTGTCAGGACTGCACCGAATTGAGGCGGCAAAAAACTTTCTGGACGACAATGATCAATGGTGGGTTGTGCGCCTTTTCACGAAAGGTAAGTGGTGTAATGCGCTGCACTTGCCTAGAGCTATGCTCACTACAGCAGAAACGCCTATATCCGTGCTTTCAAGGATCGTTGAACTGTACTCAAACGAGCAAAGGCCCTCAGATGGAGAGATATTTCGAAAAATACGCCTATACCGTCGAGAAAATGATGTGCTCTCGGAAAATCAATAGTGGGCGTATCTTGATAATTCCAAGCTTAGGAATCTCCGCCAGCTTCTAAAAACCGGGCCATTGACATCTGCCTTCGATTCGCTTATAGACATGCCGGGTTTGTGGGCTAACGTTCGGCTCGGTGCCCTGATTCGTCTACTGGCCATGAAATGTGACGAGGTGAGGCATCGCCCCTTCGCAGCCTCCGTCCCTGACTCGGAGCTTAGGAGATGATCCGCTATCTAAAGCACATCAAAAAGACGTGAGATGCTGTCCTCAGATGCGGGCACATCACCTTGCCGTATTCGGTTATCGACGCGGTCACTGTAGCAAAACTGGAGAGACTCTGCCCACGATATTCCGCGTCTAATAAAGACTACGTTTTAGCTATAATGCAAGACCACGTCCTCTTTTCTTTAGTAGAAGATAGAAGCCTTAGAAGGGCATTGCTAGAAAATATCACCAGCGTGCCTTCCTTGATCCCTTCCCTAGGGATTTTTTTCGAGATGCTAAAATACCTGGAGCCTATATGCGATACCTTGAAGCAATTAATTAGGACGAAGATGAAAGGTACGATCCGGAGAAGCTTGTTCGGTTCTTTCTTCCCGCCTGAGAAGGTTACCGTACAGAAGTCGGAGAGTCATGCTATGGAGTTGAGGGGCCAGCTAGACAAGGCCGCCGAGATAGCCTATATCCAATTGTGGGCATTCTGCGCTCGGCACTTCAATGGTCTCACGACCTTTACTCCCAGGAAGGAAAATGGCAAGGATAAGCCTACAGTCAAGGGACCAAATCCGGTGTTATGGCAACGTCTTGCCAGGTTCGCCTTAGATCTGGGATTCCGCATCCCGGTAGCCGAGAAACTAGCCGCGCAAGACTCGCGCTCCAGGCTCGCCATCGACTTCCTCAGGAAAGCCAACCCCCTCTCCGTCACCTTTAGCGCCGCGCAGATACAAACGGTTGTGCTCGCCAGCTCTCGCGCGGCGGCCTCCGTAGAAGATGCACCGGAGTTCAGCACCATCCAGTTTGACGAGGAGAGGCGATGTGGGCGACCATTTGAGCTGGATCTAGAGGACGACAAGCGATTTCTCTTCGCCCCCATCATCTATCAAGACCAGGACGTTACGGCGGTCAGCCTTCAGTTTGTTCGGCGTGACCTTTTCCGATGCATTTTCGGCTCACTTCGTTTCCAGGATGATGATTTTAGTCCACCATTCCCATCAATCACAGAAAGCAGTCCACCAACGGCTACCGAGACGAGAAAGAGAACCAAGCCTAGCAGCGACTCTGAGAAGTATACACAGAAACGGAGACGACTAGACCACAAAATCGATCAAATCTACAAGCTGACCGGAAAGGTCGCGAGCTTGGTACGAGAAAATAAAACGCTGAAGGCAGATCGCACAATCTTGAAGGAGCGGTGTCAGGTGGCCGAAGACGAAAATGCCCAATTGAAACGTCGTCTTCGCATTCTGGAAAGCCAGGGAGAAGTGCCGCGGCATGATGCGCCAGCTCCGCAACCTGCTAACGTGGACATGCAGGACGACTGTAATGATGATGACCGTAATGATGATGACCGTAATGATGATGACCGTAATGATGATGACCGTAATGATGATGACCGTAATGATGATGACCGTAATGATGATTTCTGGCGAGAGAGGTCTCCGACTAGGCACCATGATCGCCGCCGGGAGAGGTCTTCGACCAGGTACCATGACCGCCGACGAGATCGGTCTGCTTCACCAGGACGGGAGCGCGTAAATCGCGGCCGTCACCGAGATCGTAACGCCCGTTATCGGCACGAGCGAGATCCAGAGGTCCAGGACGAAAGCCATGATGTACAGGGCGACAGTCAGGAGTTGGTCGTCCTACAGCTTGATCCTCCTCCGAGGCATCAAGCGCCACAGGATGATAGCCAGGCCGTTGTTCACTCGAGTACTTTGTCTCTGGAGGCGCTCCTCAATCTAGATCCCCGGGAGAATCTAATAGAAGAGTTGCTGGCTTCCCATCGGCATAGATACTCTCACGACATAGCACTCGGTAACTATCACGAGATCTTCCTCGTCAGGCACATTACGAGTCACACAGACGTGGATATAGAGGGCCTTAGCTTCCTCGCCAGCTCATCTGAGGCCGGAGTCTGGCAGACAGAAACTCTCATGAACCACATCAACTCATGGTGGGCAAAAGCTATGCGCGAGCCTGGCCCTCTCATCGTCTCGGAGAAAGGAAAGGTAGTGACGAGCCATGCCGCAACGATCATCCACGCAGCCTGTGAGCAGCATGGGACTTGCTTCGTCGGGTCTAGAGGTGACGTGGACAACATTGTTCAGATAGTAAGGAAGGGTGGTTTTGAATTATGAGAACTCCTTACATCGCCCAATGTCAATTACATAGAAATCTATCATTCCTCCCCCCCCTTGAACCTGGGTGACGCGGCTGCGGTTCGCCTTTCCTTTTCCCCCTTACACACGTAGCTCCACGAGAACGCTGACTTGTTGATGCTCTGCCACGTTTGGGCTATTGACCATGGGTGATTGGGCCAAGATCTGGGCGCGTTGCTCGTCAATGTCCGCGATGCGCTGTGCGGAGATAGCTTGGAGACATTGGACTAGCTCCGTGTCGCGCTGAGGTGGAAACACTGGAAGACTAGTGTTCCTGTAAAGGCGTAGGCCCAGGAATTTTATCCAGGTATAAAAGAGCCAAAGGCTGAATGGCGTTCCAAATCCGACGCCGATTCGCAATGCCTATGAATGGGCCCTTCATGCCAAATTCTGGCTTTGTGACGCTAAACAACCAGAGAAATACGCGTTTGAAATCCGGATCGTTGCCTAGCGCCTCAGAGCTAGTAAAGAGGTCCTCGATTTCAGGGAACCAGGTAAGAATGTGGACCCGGATCATCCATTGCCAGAAGTTGGGCGAGTTTGTGAGTTTGTTGATTGGAAGGGAGGCTTGCAGGAGGGAAAAGATATCTTGGACAGAAAGGTACGGAGTAACCATAACTATAATATCATAGGGGAGTGTCGTAAAAGGGTCGTTGTGAACTTTTGGCGATAGGTCCGGGAGACAAGATGGTTGAGCAAACATTTGTGGTGAAAGCATGGCCTGTATAGTCCTGCTAATATCTGGGCGGAGCCTAGGATCGTGCACGGAGTACTGCGAAGCCAACGGTTAGTTACAGTCCAATTGATGCAGCTGGTTGAAAGGTGAGCCAACCTCTTCTCCTGGAACGGAGCTCCAGGTTCGATCCATCCCTCCTATCTCACCGTAATCGAGTCCTAAGTGCTGACGGCTGCCAGACGCCACTTGAATTTGCTGCATTGCCATGTACATAGCATATTTGTCGATGCGGGTAGTATCTGGGTTCCCGAAAATCGCACGAGCTAAAATCTCGTAGCAGGTTGTATGGAATGGAAAGCATGCAAAGGTGTTCCTCTTAGTGTAGCTGCCTTTTATTAGTAGTTGGAATGACATAAGGGACTAAGAGTGCCAACCAATCTACATCAAGAAAGCCCCGACGGGGCCCCCCCGGCAAATTAGGATCCAGGTCTTCACATTCTTAGTCAGACTAAATAAAACGAAGAATATTGTGCGAAACATACTTGCAAGATCTTCAGCGTTCGGCCGAATGCAAAAGACGCCCTAAATAACTTCATTAGACTATACATTATTGGCGGGGGAAATGCAGAGCTCACATAATCACCATAGTATCCGGGAGGTGAAAGATAAACCCTATGCCCGTCAATTACCCGTACTACCCATATCACCGCCAACAGCATATATCCCTCCAACTTACCTTGCTTTCGGACCCAAGCCCAAGCAGTGGCACATGCGCAACCACTCGATATTGCCTGGTGTAATGAGTTCTGGATCGTAAGACCGCTTCTCTTCCGCCTCGCTAATTTCTTTCTCTTCCCACAACTCTTTCGCCCTAGCGTTATTCTCGTCATCACTTTCGTGAACGTCAGGCTCGCCGGCGAGTCGGCGCTTTTTCTTGGCAATGCGGGCTCGGCGGAGTAAGAGCGCCTCAGGGTCTGCCGAGCCTACCTCAGGACGTAGCATCACCCAGGGAGGACCGCCGCATAAGGCGCAATAGCAATCCCAGGAAGCCATGATTGCGGTCCGTACGCTGCGCTGCCTATATGTAAAGCGGTTGACTTCGCTTGCGTTGTGGTGCCCCCGAGGTCGAAACCACCGATCTCAACGCTCTTTAGGACTAAAGTTGATCGCCGTAGTCGGGCTGCGAGAAGCAGACGCGGAGAGTCGTAGGGACAGGGTGCTGGCGGGGGTGCTGGCGGGGGTGCTAGGCGTCGACGGCGTCAACGTAGGTGAGGAAGTCGCGCACGCCGTCGTCCGCCTCGCTCTGGTATGCCGCACGAACCGAGGGGGGGTATAAGGCGGCTGGCGCCGACCTGCGGGCCGTAGAGGCTCTCCCTGCACACTGCAGCTGCTGCTCCAGCCAGCGTAGAACGTGGGTGAGGCCGGCCGGGAAGGTGGGCGTTGAGATGGGTGCAGCCAACTGGCTCGTCAGCGCCTATCACGGTGCGAACACGGAGGTAATCAACTGTGTTGTACTGTAAGGAGCAGAAGGCTCGGCAGGCTACGGGAAATATATATGTGGGTGCCAAGGCGCTAGTCGTGGTCTCACGTGAGTAGCGCCCAGGTCCAAAGTCGTATTAGTGCCGTAATAGTACCCCCCTTTTACTTCGCTATTTATTCTAAATAACGTACTTTATAAGCAAAAGCTCTAAAAATAGAACCCTTCTGATGATCGCAGAATTAGCTGAACTTTACCTGCAGTTTCGGGGACCGTTACCGACGATGCCCGCGATAGTGTAAGCTCTTCAGGGTTCTGTTGCAAGGACTCGTGGCTCGACCAAGGGCCAGTGGCAGTCTGGATGTTTAACGGCATTTCGATCGTTCGTATTTGGATGAAGGTGTATGAAGGATAGAGTATGTTGACATATGCAGAGTTTGCTTGGTCGGAACTGCCGATCGGTCGTGTAGAATCCACTGTGCCCAGTGACGGACAGCAGCTCTTAAAAGCTCGTCCTCGCCGCCACAACCGGCTGCCAAAGTCTTCATACCAGGGATCAAGTTCAGGCAGCCTAACAGGCAGGCGCTTTTCACCCAGTACGCCTGGGCACGAAACGGCGGAGGCAAAATGGCGACAAAGGCGGCCATCTTTTCAATGCTTTGAGTCGCAATGCATAGTATCATAGGACGAGAGGAGTCGAAAGCGGGTGAGACAAGCCTCAGTCAACGCCCCTCTGCTGCCGCCAGGCTAGTGATGCTTTACCCGTGCCACTAAACTCCTGCTACAGACGCTTCCGCCTCAGTGACGGGTTCTAAATACAGGTGGCAATCAATGCATACCCCTGTTGCATAAACATCGCGGCCGCAGCGATGAGATATGGCACCGCGCTGCTGGACAATCCGCCTCTAGCGGTTACTGGTGAAGAGCGCGGCGCACTCACACCTGATGCATAACATCTGGCCGCAGCGACAATGCCGCAGCGCACTGTTCGACGCTTCTCCTCCGCTAATAATGGCAAAAGAGCGACGAGCGCGGTTCTCATCAATGCGAGCCCCTGGTGCATGACATTATAGCCGTGGGGATGAAGCTGCAGCGACCCCACCCGGGCGACGATTCAAGAGCTGCAGGAGTCGATCGGGTTGAGATCAGAGGCTGAGACCCAGTCCTTCGTAGGTCGAAAAATGAACGCATGATCAAGGAGATGCCTAGGCAGGTAGAGGCTGCACAGCCGTTTGATGCGGTGGCGTAGTGGTTGAAAATAGGGCCGGCTAGGCGTATGTGGACATCATGTCCCGCCTGTGTTGAAGTTGGTTCTTGGTCGGTTCTCGGGCAGGTGAACTCAGAAACCTGGATTCGCCTGTGTCGAAGTCGGTTCTCGGTCGGTTCTCGGGCAGGTAAACTCAGGAACCTGGATTCGCCTGGATTCACCTGTATCGATCAGCTTAATGTAAGGACTGTCGGGTGGTGTAGTCGCCGATCGAAGCGAGACGGGCGCCTCCGTCAATGTGTAGCTGGAATGATCGCTGTCGTCATTCCAGGTAGCTTTATCGGATAGATGGGGCCACCGATGAGCCATACATATGCCGACATCTCACGCCGCCGAAGGGTCGGTCGCAGGTGTTGCAGTCGAAGGACGGAGCATGCACGAGAGAGTCTCGCAGATGCTGCTCCAAAGCGGTGTTGTTGCCGAAATGACGGTCGCAAGTTCATCGCTCCCGATGGACTGATCGCAGAGTACGCAACGGATGTTCACCTGCTCGCCACTTATTAGACCTGCGCTCTTTCGGCACCGTCTTCGACAGACCGCTCCCAGTGTACCAGCGGGGATGGTGACCACATGGCCCAAGACCTAGATCCGGGCGACTGCAACAGGCGATACGCGACGTACTCAGAGGATCTGTGACCAGTGACACTTTAAGTCTTTCATCGCTTTCGGGTTGTCCACGAAACCGACATCCAGCTTACGGTCCGCCGTAGATCCTTGCAAGGGCTGATCTGGCTGTGCCAAAGGTCTTCGGCGAGCCTTCGGATCCTGCTGATGTTTCTCAACAAAGGCCGCGAGGTCCTCCGTCAGCTGTGCGAACCAGCTCAAGACATCCTTTTCATTCGCGTCTTCAGGCCATCCTGTCTCTTCACAGTATAACGGACTATCCCCTTCCCTGCACTTCTCGAAAACAGCTTTGGCAGCGGCGTCAAGACCTGCCACACCTCCAAAGAATGCCTCGTAGAACCCAGGGACTCCTACCTACATGGGTCCCAGCTCTTCCTTGAGTACATCGTCCACGTATTTGCGGTGTTCGGAGGAATTCGCGAAGCTGCTCGTGTTACGCAGCCATGGTGTTTGTTCGACGAACAGTGGTAGACGCGGGGGAGGTGTGGATTAGGGTTAGCTCGTCGAAGGAGCCCCGCGGTGATAGCGGTGGCGCCTCGGCGTCTAGCGGTCGTGGTGGGGACGTTCCGGATGGCGGCAAGGTGACTAGTCGGCGTCTCTCCGGCGACAAGAACCCGCTTGGTCCTTGGTCGGGTGCTTTGTTCGGTGCGCGCGGCCGCAAGCCGCCACAGGACCCTAGGTGCGAGAGTATAAGAAGTGAGAATAACGCTATTAGACGCATAACGTACTTCACTATCGAAAGCCCCACACCATCGAACCCCCCACGATTTCTTGGCAACGAAAATCAACGAAAATTAATCCGATTTTCTTAAATAACTAACGTACTTCACTATCGAACTAGTCACCCTATCGAACAACCTACGATTTCTTGGCAAGGAAAATTAACAAGAATTTATAAGTTTTTCTTAAATAACTAAGTAAAACCTTAATATCTTTCTATAAAAATTTATATATATATTCTTTATAGTATATTACTTTTTATTCTAAAGTTATACTAAAATATATTACGTAATTAAAAGACTATAACGTACTTTATAGGCGAATCTCTTATATAAATAAACTTTCTAAAAATACTAAGCTTTTACTAAATACTACTATCTCTATTATAAAGCTTTTTATAAATATCTAATTAACTTTAGATAAATTCTAGATATAGCTTACGCTCTAGACTATTTAATAAAATCTAGAGCTAAGCTTATAGCGCGCTATAGCTCTCTATAACGTAGAGTAAAAGAAAGTCTATAGTTAATATAATAGAGTTACTCTATAACGTAAAAAAATACCTAATTTAATAAGACTTATAAAGAATAAAGAGTACGTAATAGTTAAGTATATACTTAATCTAGATATATAAGAATTTACCTTTAAGCTTACTACTATTTAAGATATAGCTAATAAGCTACTTACTAAGTAAGATAAGAAGATAGTAGGTATAAACTAGCTAAATACCTTTATTACGCGCTATTCTAAGCTTAAAATATAGCTTAATTATAAGTATAACTATTAGAAAGTAAAGTAAGAAAATTCTATAATTATTTAGGTATAGTTTAATCTAGTAGGTAATATAAAGATAAAGTATAGTATTACTAATAAAGATACGTATAATTTTAATAAATCTAGCTTTATAATAGAAATAATATCGCCTTAGATAGTAGTTACTAGCTCTAAGAGATAATTATAACTAAAGAGTCTTTAACTAGATAATTATAAGTAGATTTTAGCAATTATAATAGTAAGAGTAGTAGATAATATATAGGTTCTACTATTTCTTATTATTATAAGTAAGAACTACCTTTTAGTATAGTATAAAGATAGCTAGCTACTACGTAATTAGGTTATAGCTATTTCTAAAAGTAGCTAGATAATAAATAAAGTTAGTATTATATAGTTAAAGTACTTTAACGTATATACTAAAAGTTACGTTATAGGTATATATTATCTACTAATTTTAGATAGCTATAAAAGCTATAGCTCTATTAAATTCTAGTAGTACTATAAGAAAAATAAAATTATAGTTCTCTATATACTAGTATATTTATTATACCTTCTATAGCTACTTAACGTTAGCTACTTCTTACTATTAAAGGTAGTATATAGCTGCTAAGTTAAGATTCTAATATGTAGCTATATTAACTATGTTATAAAAATTAAGTTTTTACTTATGTTTTATGTAGCTTTTTACGCGTTAATTATAGATAATAATATTAGAGTAGAATTTAGAGACGCTAGCTTAGTTCTATTTAATCTAGATTTAGTAGTATTAAAGCTTAAAGTTTAATTATGTATGCTAATACTTTCTACTACTAATACTACTATCTAGAAGTATAAAATATCTAGTAATCTTGTTAAAGTAAGGTTCTAATTAACTCTAATTTAATTAAAGATTATATAGTACCTTAATTTATTACTAACTTATATTATTAAGTTACTTAATTAGCTTAAGAAAGGTAATAAGCTAATAGCGTATTAGCTAGTACTTATAGAGTCTAAAGTTACCTAGCTTTAAGTAGCTAATGTATAGAAAAAGAAGTATAATTTGCGTAAAAGAAAGTAGATTTAGAAAGAGAATACTCTTATAATTAAAGCTAGCTTATAGCTAGTTACTTAAAAAGAGACTATAGATTAGAATAAGAGTAAGAAGTAGCGTAAAGAGGTAGTAGTACGTAATAGCTAGCTAGCTTAGTAACGCTATAGACGCTATAGTAAGCTAGAGTATAACGCGTAAACGTGCTAGGTAGTTAAAGATAATATAGATAAGTTAGATAGCTTATCTAGATTTATCTTAAGTAGCTTAGAGTTAGAGAAATCTAAATAAGATAGTAGCTTTTTAGTAGAGACTTAGTATTTTTAGAGAGTTTACCTATATAGAGAGTTTACCTATAAAGTACATTAATATACTTTATAAGTAAGCTAGCTATATAAGTAAGCTAGCTACTATCTCTTAGTAAGAAAAATTAATAAGAATTTATAAGTTTTTCTTAAATAACTAAGTATATAATAGTCTAGTTTAGAAATTTATCTTAGTTATATAACCTTAGATTACGTAACCTTATTATATAACTTAGTCTAGCGTTTTAGTACTTAGTACCTCTATATATAGAGTCTTTTAGAGCCTTTTCTCTACTTCTTATCTTTAGATAGCTAAATTTAACCTAATCTACTCTACTTATTACTTTTATTCTTATAGCTTATAGAGACTATATTACCTATAATTAACTTATCTAGCTAGGTATTCTAGAGCGTATATATAGTAGTAGAAACTATAGAGCTAGCTCTTATATTATCTAAAGGTTAATACTTCTTTAACTAGAAATAGTAGTATAATATTAGGCTAAACTAAGTAGCCTTATATAAAGCGTTTACTAATAGCTATACTAAGAATTAGAGCTATAAGAGTCTAGTTACTTACTCTAAAAATCTATTAATATACTAATTAATTACTTACCTCTAGTACTATATAAGACTACTAGCGAATTTAGTAGATAGTAGAAAAGATACCTTTAGTAGTAAGCTAAAGAGAGCTATAAGAGCTCTATATATAGAAGAACTTCTATAGAACTTCTATATATAAAAACCTTTTTCTCTCTCTTTATTTTAAAAATTAATAATTCTCTACTCTACTAGTAGAGCTAATAATTAGCTACTACGCTAGTAGTATATACCTTTACTTCTTAAATAAAGAAGCTATACCTAAGTTAAACTACTTAAATACTATAGGTAAACTCTTATAAAGTAACTCTAGAAGTAAGACTCTAGTTTTATAGTACTCTTTTACCTCTATAATTCTTAAATTCTAGATAGAGAACCTGCTAGCTAGTTACTTAAAATAATATTATTATCGCGAATCGCTTGTTTAATAATATAATATAATAACGTACTTTATTATTAAACTATCTATATTATTAAACCGCCTATAATTTCTTAGTAAGAAAAATTAATAAGAAATTTACAAGTTTTTCTTAAATAACTAGACGAAAACTTAATATTTTTCTATAAAGATTTATATATATGTTCTTTATAGCATATTACACGTAATACTAAAGTTATACTAAGATATATTACGTAATTAAAAAGCTATACGTATTTAACTAACTTTTAAGAAAAAATCTACTTTACTTCTAGTAAGTAGTATTATATCTCTATAATAATATATAAAACTTATAGTATATAGTATCTATAACGTAATAAAGGTTTCTAGAAAACTTCTATAGCGCTAGCTCTTCTAGGTATAGCGTAATAAGAGATAGAAGTTAGAAAAATAATTTCTTTAGAGTTTTCTCTTCTAACTATATATATATATAGTTAATCTAGCTATATAAACTTATTATTTTATAAATTATAGTAGGCTTTAACAATATAGAGCTTATTAACTAATAATATACTAGCTTTAAGTAGTTACTTAAAAGTAAAGCCTTTTTAGTAGTATAGTATAGAAAGAGAGAAATATACTAAAACTATTTTAAAATTATTACTTCTAAGTATATAGAAGACTTATAGTATATATAATCTTATAGTATATAACTTTATATAGCTAGATTATTTATATATATCTATAGTTAGAGAAGAAAACTCTAGAAAGACTTTTTTAAATTTCTACCTCTTATTACGCTATACCTAGAAGAGCTAGCTCTATAGAAGTTTTCTAGAAACCTTTATTACGTTATAAATACTATATACTATAAGTTTTATATATTATTATAAAGATATAGTACTACTTACTAGAAGTAAAGTAGATTTTTTCTTAAAAGTTAGTTATATACGTATAGCTTTTTAATTACGTAGTATATTCTAGTGCAACTTTCGTATAAGGTGTAATCTATAGTAAAGAATATATATATAAAATTTTATAGAAAAATATTAAGGTTTCGTTTAGTTATTTAAGAAAAACGGGTTGGTTTTCGTTGATTTTCGTTGCTAAGAAATCGTGGACGGTTCGATAATATAGGCGGTTCGATAATAAAGTACGTTAACTAATAAGAATTAGAATAATAACTTTAAATAAAAGCTAGCACGGCTACGCTAGAGCTTAGTAATACCTAGGTTATTAGTAGTAGATAGCTCTTATATACTCTCTACCTCTAGAAAGAAGCTCTAAGACCTTTTTCTAGAAAAGCTAAGTAAAATTATTAATAAATTAGTTAGCTAATTACTTATACGCTAGATACTTAAATAATAGACCTATATATATTACTAGATTACTACTAACGTACTTACTAAAAAAGATACTATATATAGAGAGTATTAGAATTTATAGTAGAAAAAAGCTATTACTTTAGTAAAGATTTAATAGCTATAAGCGTAACTATAATTCTACTCTAGAAGCTAAATACTATCTACTTTATTAACTTAACGTGTAATATACTTTATAACTTAGATACTATATATA